CCACAAGCAAGATACCTAAAATGCACATCTAGTTTAGATATTTTATACAAACGAAAAACAAAACACCTATTTCCATAATTAAATGAAGTAAAGAGTTTCACCTTTGGGAAGTTTACCACCGAGCACAGTGAATTTCTGGGGGTTTCGCAAAAATTCAACAACATCCTGAAGTTCGTTTTTGGCCTCCTCTACACCTTTCACATGTTCAAAGGTGACATTCTTCATCTGAATGGGATCCACGGCTGAATCCAGACCAGAGGTGGTGCGGAAACGAACTACATAGGTAAATAGATCAAATGAAGACTTCTAATCATCTGCTCAGAACTCAAAGAGTAAAAAAAAAAAAAAACCAAAAATTTCACACTACAGCAACAAATCCTTTCATACATTATGTTGTTACATTATTATAAAAGCTGCAGAAGAAAAACAGTTACAGTCAAACGCATGCTATCAGTCGATATATTTTAGACAAGCAAATATAAGGAAAGAATAAAATGGGAAACAAACCAGTGTCGGAAAATGACCCTTTACCCGAGAAGAGAGGGCTTCTGGACACACCATACAGACCCACCAGTAGGAGGACAAAAATAATCAGACGTGTCCTCTTTACAGAATCTGTTAGCAACAGCAGTAGTAAGAACGAAATTCCTGCAGCAAACACGTTTTTTACTATATAACTAATGTTAGATAAGATGCTTTAAAAAGGCCTAAAAGCATTACCTTGAGTCCTCTGTGTCAAAGCCTGAGCTTTCATGAAGCCCTCTGTGAAGCCCGTCTTGAAAGCATCCTGGTGAGATTGTTCAAGATTCCCCATGTCTCGCTTTTCCTTCATAAGGAGGCCCTGAAGAGGAGAGAGAAAATGATACAGAAAATACAAATAAAGGGCAAAGGAAAAATACAAGAAAACAAGTTTAGAACATTCAGATATTTCTGTTGTATTTATGAGACCAGACCTGCCTTAACTATTATTTCCTCAGTGTCATTTAAGCTTACTAACCTTCATAAAGGCTGGCGTATAATTCTCTGCATCTACTGGACCTTCAAAACCAGACTGCAGATGTCTAGTCTTGGAGCTCATTGTCTTGAAACCTCTGTTTTGGACCCATACTAAGCATAAACACAAAAAGACACACATAAAATAAACCCACAACTTCATTTATAGCTATATGTAACAGCATGTAACTGAGTAAAAGCCCCATTCACAACAAGAATGATAACCATAACAATAACTATATTAGCATCCAAATCAACGGAGAATAATGTTTCGTTTAACATAAGTGAGCACTGCAGTTTTGAAGTCTGTTTCTTTAAATGTTCAAGCTCTTTAAAGCAGGATGGACTGTTTTCATTGTTCAACAGCAAGAAAAAAAATTATATTCTAAAATGATTTCAACAACAGTTTTATCTATGTTGTTTTCATTATAGCTGTGGTGTGAACTTCAAGTTAAAGTTAACATCCTTTATGTGAATGCCTCTAACTTTTGGTCACTTGTAGGAAATATTACATTGCAGATGATGCAGATCTACGCAGGCTGCCTGGAGGGGGCTGGAACTTTGCCTGCGAAACACCGAAGAGCCAAAGAGTCCCATGTGTTTGTGAGAGAACCCTATGTTTAAAATAAGACATACAATTTAATTTATAGCAATCACATTGATGAGAATAAAATGGTCCATTAGTGTCCGGATGACAAGAAAAAAACTTTTTAAGACTGAAAAGCTGTTGGGAATCTTGTTTGTGCATAAAACAGAATATTTCAACATCCTAATAAATTTTATGCATTTATCTACTTGTGATCTAGCTTGTACAAAGTAATTAAAGGTGGGGTATGTATTTTTTCAAAAACGCTTTAGAGTCGGGCCGAGTGCCAAAACAAACTTTGGACGGACATTAGCCGAGCCGAGCGACGACAGAAAGATATAGATGGCGATAAAAAACAAAAGAGGAAAACGTCTGCGGAACAAAAGAAGGCTTATGATAAGGCAAGAAGTAGGACACATGTAAATTTCGGATCAGCTTTCCAGTGCTGGAGAGAACTCAAGGAGCGGGAAGGCCTGCGATCGGATGCCGAGGTTGCTTTGTTTCTTCTCGTTAGGTGAGTAACATTGGTTTTGCTTTGTTTCACAGAACTAATATATGCTGGCTTTTGCTTGAATATGCTCGTGTGTCATGTTCGCTTGTTTGTTCATCTGCAATCGTATTGTCGTTCCCTTCAGCTATGATAAAGACACATTCATTTCCACACCCTATAAGCCTGGAGCGTCTAAACCTCCTCCACTGTCTGTTTCAAGCGTCAGCTCCCAAAGTGTTTCCGAAAAGTAAGATAATATGTTTAATACAGCAGATAATAAAATAATACAGCAGATTCCGCCATAATTGTTGCCTGGTTTGCGTACGTACGTGTGGGGCGGAGCTATCAAAATAGGGACGAGACCCTTTTGGGGTAGGGGCGTGTTTGTTTTGGTGATTTGAAATATCAACATTGGCTACCAGAAATCACTTACCCCACCTTTAAGTACAGCAGGTTTGAAATGGTAGTGTCATTTCCTGTGAAGCTGGACCAGCCTATATTTAATTTCTCAACAGCACAATGTTGATAAAGAAAGATTGCATGTGATTGCATAAACAAGTTCTGTAAGGGAATAAACCTAATTATTGAGCCACCAACATTTCACAGAGACAAATATACTTCTAAACACGATATCACCACCTCATGTTGTGGGTAACCTCACCATATTTGTTTTGGAAGAAGGAGGGGGCAGAAATGTGAGATGTTCTCCATGCTGTTGAGTTTTGAGCAGCGCTGGAGATGGATTTCTCCTCTGGATCTATAGAAGGCAGCAGGCGCTCCAGAACTTCATGTACATGATGGAACCTCAGCTCTGACAGACCCAGGTCCTTTAAGTTTACTTTGGGCTGTGAAAACAGGCCAGTTAGCATTTTTAGTATTGTATTTTAATTTTGTATTATTTTTTAAACATTTCGAATGTTTTTATTTTTATATTTTCCATTTTCATTTTAATTTTTCATAATTGTTTTTTTTAATATATATTTTTATATGTCTATATATACTATAGTTTGTATTTATTTAGTTTGAGTTATTTTAGGACATCAGGTTAAACTAAATAAAAATAAGAAATGTTGCACTGGTAACTAGCTCCAATAATGTCAATTTGTTTTAGTTTTTTTTTATTTCAGTTTATATATATATATATATATATATATATATATATATATTATTTCAAGTAATTAAACTGGTTTGCTTTTAGTTAATTATAATAACCCTAGTGTAAACAAGAACATGAACATGATATATAGCAGTGTGTGCTGTTGTCGTGACTGTCATACCTCACTGAGAAGTGGGTCATGTTCAGGTGAAAAATCTCTCTGTAGACTCTGCACTGATGTGGTTACGGCCGAGTTGGCTGAACTCTTCAGGTACTGGACCACATTGATCAGATGGGTCAAAGGCACTGTTCCCTAAAAAAAGAGAACATGTTGGTCACATTGCATAACCTAGTGTGGAAAATACTGGTTAGCAATTCACAAAAAGGACTTTGACAATAACTAACTTATGTAAAACAATTAAATGTCCTCATACCTGCGACTGAACGGTTGTAGGAAGAGAAAACATATTTTGCTTAGATTTTCGTTGAGAGGTTTTCTTGCACTCCTGTCAGATCCGCTGCTCTTCTGTTCTTAGGTTATGAGCACCGGTGTTGTTAATCTCACCGGTGACGCCACCCTTCCCATCGTAAACAGAAAGACAACGTTGTTAAATTCAGCGAATCCATCGCTAGTGCATACGTCTTCACTTCTTCGGCGGTGGTCTAAATCAACAATCGTTGCATTTAGTGCCGCCTGCTGGACAATCACGGTAAGGCGCGAAAAAGTATTCTGCTAAATGTTTAGTTCATTACCTTATTAACAAGTTTAAATCAACTATAATATAGCATCATAAAATAATCACATAACAAGCCAATAAAATTACAAACGTTAGAAAGATAAGAAAACGTCACTCAGTCATTCAGTTTTGTTCCATTTCTTATTCAGATCAAAATAAACATTTAAAATGAAGTGAAAACTACCACAAAGGAGGATATTATAATAGGAATATCGTGCCTGCGTTATCACAGTAAAGCAAGCCCAATGTTCTCTCTTTAGCGTCCTCTAGTGTCCGCATAGCATGTGGCAATCTATGCATGTAGTGGCTAGATCTTTGCCTGTAAAAGCATAGGATTACGATCTTTGTTATATTTATTTATATAATAATACACCACTGTGGGAGGCACAAATATTGTGATAACATACAATTACTCTATAACCAAAATGGCGTGTTGGAGTCGTCTGAAAACGTTAATTTATGAACTAAGCGATTGGTTAGCTTTACTTCCGGGTTAAAATTAAAGACCCCCACAAGAAAATAAACCACCTAGTTAAATAACATTATGCCGTGAGAGGCATATTAAAAAAATAATAATAATAAAAAATTCCCTGTGCTCCATGCGCCCAACTGTCAGTAAATCAGTCAAAATAAATATAATAAAATGATTAAACAACAAGAACAAAGAATTCACATGATCACAATTTACAATTGTATTACTATAAGACTAAATGGTTTACATAAAAGGCTTTAAAATGTCTTTTTTATTTACATTTATTTTTTGTTTAACACGTTTTATGTTTTTATTTCTTATTTATTAAACAACTAGGATGGTGTGAATTTATAATCTCTTAAAAATCGCCTTGGATTATTCAAAACAGCAATTTTCAGAACAGCAATTTAGTGTTTTAATGGGATTTGCATTTATTTACTTCACTAACAGCCGTAAAAAAATCAATAAAACATTAGGGAGAAAAGGGAAATTGTGAATAGTGTGAAATATTCTCAACAGACTATATATATATATATATATTCTTAAAATAATCTTGCTTTCTTATCTACATATATATGATCCTAAATTAGATGCAGCTGGAAATGCACCTAAAGCCTTTTGTCGTCGTGCATTAAAGCACTTCCGCTGTGTCCCACGTTAGAGGCTCGTTGGAGGTTGCATCAGGCAGATTTAAAGCAGTCGCTGTGTGGTTTCGACGCCGTTTTATAAAATCACGACAAATCTAAGCATCTGCAAGCGGCACTGATCGCCGACGTCTTTCATCTGTTAAAGTAATCGCAGTAATATCGCATGTCCAATATACAGAACCTCCAGTCCTTCGGTAAGTTTGCAGACGGAAATCACCTCGAGCATTGTCTGTGTAATTTGCTCTGTGTGCTCATAAATGTAGTATTGCTGAAATACAGTAAATTCAATGAGTAACTAACGTTTTTTTTTTTTTAAAAAGGAAAAGTGTGAGTGGAAACATGGAAATATCAGAATTTTAAAACTGTAGAAGTCGTAGGGAGAATAATGACGCGTTTTTAGACAACTTATTTTCATCATTTACTTAATTTTTTTAAAATTTATACTCCCCTTGGCTAAATAATGTTGCCTTTTAGTTAAACGTGTGAGATTACTTTTAAAAGTTCTTATCCAGTAATCAAATAAAGTGTATGTTTGTGACCCAGGTTTTGTGTAAGTCACTTAAAAGTCCCAAAATGATGAAAATATGTGTATATTGGTTACAATCAGATGTTGCTCGTTATTTGATCTCCTTCCCATTGTGCGACTTTCAATTCATCTTCAGTCTTGAGCTCTTATTGTGTGTGAGAGAGAGTGGCTTCTTGTAACCAAGACTGAAATGTTCCATTGTTTCTCTGTAGATCCCTTTGCTGATGCAACTAAGGGTGACGACTTGCTCCCGGCTGGGACTGAGGATAAAATCCATATAAGGATTCAACAACGGAACGGCCGCAAAACGCTGACCACTGTGCAAGGCATCTCGGATGACTATGATAAAAAGAAACTTGTAAAAGCCTTTAAAAAGGTATTTTCTAACTTCGCTTATTTGAAAACGTTCCTCCTAAAGTGCTATTTGATGAGTAATATTGCTCGGTTTTATTTAATAGAAATTTGCCTGCAATGGTACAGTGATCGAGCACCCAGAGTATGGAGAGGTGATTCAGTTACAGGGGGACCAAAGGAAGAATATCTGTCAGTTTCTGATGGAGGTAAAGTATGCTTATGTTTGGAATATCATATTACTAGTTGCAAGCCGTTTCTCTTTACGATGCATGTTTGAATTGAATAATTTGATTTCCCTTGTGTTTGTTTGACTACCAATCAAATTGGTTTAAGCAGTTACTCAATTTCATTCTCCATTTCGCAGATCAACATCGTAAAGGAAGAGCAGTTGAAGGTCCACGGATTTTAAAATGCTGCCCCCTCCAGGGCTTTCTATAGGACTGCACCAGCATGTAGCAATCCTAGTATATTCATGGCAGGGTTTTTGTGACCATATGCTAACAACACTGACAGCAGGGTAAAACGGTTTGTTTTTGCAGTCATTTCAAGCTCGAATCTTCATAATGACCTCAAGCGGACCACTAATTCTAGGCTGGTCTGAATTAGAAATAACCGAAGTTAGAAAATACTGAATCTTTGTTGCTGATGCTTGTGAACGTTTTATGATAGATGCACTATCTTTTTATCTAGGACAATAAAATTGTGACTTTGCACATTTGTGACTATTTGTCTTCTCTTCCCTCATAACATTTGGTCTGTGAATGTTTATTGTAGCAAAGTATTTTAAGACTTAACTTTCAGGACTGTCAGAACACAAGCATTGCTTATTTAAATCTAGATTGCACGAATGAAATGGGTGCTTGTATATTTGTTCCACGTAGTTGGTATGAAGTCAAAGTATGACTATTTTTCAGTATTGCAATAAAACTGAGCAATTAGATTCTAATGGCCAATTAACAATACTTTTAAAAATGTGCTTTTTTTTTTCTTTTTTTTTAAGCATGGGCTAGAGGTTTTATGAAGGAAATTATCTTGAATGGATGTACTAATTTCCATTGTGGTGCATTATTCGGAGGAAGTTTATAATATTGACAATGTTTCTGGTTTGTAAACTGCTTTTGTTCGCTCCCTTGTAGTTTGGCTTATTGTCGGCTGGAAATCCTTTCAGCTGTGGCCTAAGTCTGCAGTGTCCTGGCTGTCCCGCCAGGCTCAAACATGAGTGTAATCCTCTTTAAAAGGCATGGAATGGCTTTCATGACTGAGGGATGCCAATCTCACTGAGGCTTTGTGGGCATTTCGAACACTTCTTACCACCGCACGACAGGCTGAAAAAGAATGACTTGGGACTATTTGCAATGATTAAACCATTTAACTGTTTGTATTTTGGGAGAACGCAAGGTGCTTTTAATTACTCAAAAATACAACACAAGTGTGAAAAAGTAGTGTTGGGCATTTTGTTTCAACCCAGTGACTCAAATATTTTGAATGCTTTCACCAAAAAGATTTGTTCACTGACCAGTGCGTTGGGAGTCATTTGAATCAATTGAATCATTCTTCAAATATTTTTCCTCCATTTTTATTGCAAGGAGGTGACTTTTACCTAGCTGTAAAAACAGCGAGAATAAGCCTAAATAAAAATATAAAACTTGGTTATTTAAAATGTTTCTGCTGAAAAATAAAACAATAGACACCATCACAACCCTGTGGGTCTCTACTGGTAAATGGTCACCTTCTATTGGTGGCTTGTTAAAATAATAAAGCCTAAAGGAATATGTCCCAAAACACACTACAGAAAACCATTTTTAATGGTTAAAAGTTGATGGATTGTAATGGAAAGGGAAAGGTTTTGAGCCATTTTGCGGATGAAAGTGACTGAGAACATTCAAAAACAGATTAATACACCGATTCGTGAGCTAATCTGCTTTTGTGAACCGATTCGATCGATTCATTCGACTCAACTATTCGCTCGCTACGCAGGGTAATCTGTTAATTTTTTTTCCTGAGTCCAGCTTGTAAAAACAGACAGTTTGTCCATTAAGATGTGTAGGAGTGAAGTGCTGAGTTTAGTGGCTGGTGTCTGAATAAGACAGAAACAGACGGAGCACGTGCGGATGCCTGGGGCTGTCCACCGTCCTCTCCGCTCCACTCCATTACCTCCACCAGACAAACACAGAGTTAATGATGGATGTCTCCGATTCATCAGCACACTCTTCCTGCTCTTAATGCTTTAGTGTTTTCTTTTCCCCCACTCATTTTAACAATCAGTCCATTCATATCTGAACAATTGATCTCTATCACTTTTTAAGAGGCGTAAAAGCCATTTTACAGCTCACTGAGTTTTATGCGCTTATTGTGTGTTTAAATATGAAAAAGGAAAGGAATGGCTACGCATGCATATGTATTAATTCCACATGAGAGCTTGATATTGGACAAAACTGTTAAATGCCCGTCTGGCAGTCAGCAGATTCCATTATTTTTGTTTGTGTTTAGCCAGAGGCCAGCCAGCTGTTATTGTTTTTGCGTGGTATTGCAGAGCATTCACCCCTCTCCGCTCACGTCTAAGCAGTGATTCAGCTTCAGATGCTGTTTCACTGCGGGTTGATATTGGTAATAATAAATAATACTAGTGACACTGACCCTTACCTCCAGCTTTTTTGAGAAGCCTACAGCTGTCATATCTGACCAACAGGCCGAGAAGTAAATGCATTGCAACAGCTTCTCTGTGCAGTCTGGACATAATGAAAAAGGGAAAATTCATCAATGCAAAAAAATAAAATAAAATAAATAAAAATAGTACCCTGAAGAAAAGGCTAACTTAAACCAGCCTAAGATGATTTGCTGGTCTTAATTTAAGTCATTCTGCAGTCTAGTGTTCAGTGGATTTAGCTGGTGAGGAAACTGGTCTGACATTCTCACCTGCTAAAAACTCTCCAAAACCGTGTAAAACCAGCTCTTTTTTTTCAGCAGGTTAACTGGACCAAAAAAGTACTATTACCTTTGAGATATGGAAAATGAATTTATGAATTCTTAACATTCATCGATGATGGTGTGGAGGTAGCCTAAATGAAATCTGCAATGAAGATCAAAAAACAAAATTAATTAGGCTACAACCAGCATCAGACCACAAACAGAACACAAATACTACAAATCATTATTTCAAACATATTATATGCGATTTCATGGATTTTCATGGAATTTTAATACAAACACTGAAACAAGTAGCCTATGAAATAAAAGAATTAATGAGCAAAATGAGCAAATCACAGAAATTGTTATTAACAAATTGTTTAAAAGCATGTTAAAATAAATCAATAAATGTATAATTTAAATGTATCAATGTGACAACCTGCCCCAACGTGATATTTATGAAAAACACCATTTGTCTCGAGCATGGTTATTAACATTAAATCTGTTAAAAACATTCTTGTTAACTGAAGTAAAGCTGAAATTATATATATATATATATATATATATATATATATTGCAAAATGACTTGTATATATTAGATGAAAAAATAAGCAAAAATTAGAAATGTTGTATTGGCAACTACCTGAATAAAGTTTAAGTAGAAGCACTGAAATTAATAAATTGAAATAAACAAAAACTTAAACTGAAATGTAAAAAAAAAACTAAAGAGTAATATTTTAAAGGAAAAAAACAAAAACTAAATAAAAATGACAAAAGCACATAATAAAATCACAAAAAAATTTAACAAAAATTTAGAAGAAAACCAAACACATAAAAACAAAAGCTACTTCAAAATATTAATTAAAACTTTACTAAACTAAAACTGGTCTTGAGAACATACTTAACTTTTCTGTTGAAATCTGCTAATTATCTAGTCCATCTTTGATTTACTTTCACTTGTTCATCCAGCAACTATACTGCAAAATATATGATAATATTGTCATTTTTGTTTGGATGACAAAATTGAGAAATATTACTCTAATTTAAAAGTATTAGTTGTTTAAAACTAACCTATAAAACTGCTGGCTCAATTAAACTTTTGAGTCTTTGGTTATCTCCTCTGTGCTAAAAATAAACTCTACTACCATTATCTGTGTGGACTCTTTATTTAGATTCATCATTCCTTACTCCTTTGAGAAAAGAAGGAAGAAATGCTCAGAGAAGAAAAGTTCCATTGCTTTCCCCCTGATCTCCATGTGTCTCTTTGTGAGAACGCTGTCTGTACAAATTAATCTGTATGTCAGTACTTTTGAAACCAGCAGATGGCGATATATAATTGATATCGGAGTACACCTACTTTGCCAATTTATCACTTTTGATAGATTAAAAATCAAATATTAAAACGGTTTTCTGCGCACATCTTTAAGCAGACGCATCCTATACACAGATAACATATTCCGTTGAAAGTAAAGCACTGTAGGCCTCTATAAAAGTGTAATGAATGCTGACATAACATATGGTGTCAGTCCCTCAGAGCCCGAACACCCCCCTCTTTTCACTCTACACACTCAACCTCAAAACAGCAGCTCCTCAAAATGATGGCATTCATCCAGTTCTTCTGTTCTAGTCTTAGCTCAACCTTCATCAACGGAGCAGGTTGCCAGACACATCCGCCGCTTGCTTTCGGAGACACCTGAGTTTCTAGATTGTACCTGGTTCAGTGACCATGACGGGGTGCGGATCTGCATTTGTAATGTTTTGGGAAGGAGGTGTGGAGCCTTTGCTGCTAATAGCACTAAAATATCCCAATTAAAATAGGGAACAGGGGACTAAGTGTTTTCATTGGCTCGTGCTCACGGTGTCGGCATCTGCCAGGGAAACGGACGGTCTGGCGTCGCTACAATATGTTTCTCTGAGTGATCCATTTTTAGAGATGAGAAGGGAGTTGTTGAGAATGGCTGTGTACCATATGCACGCAAAAAAGTTCACACTTACACTTTTTTAACATGCTCAGATATGTACAGGGTTAATTGGTGAGACACAACAAACTTGATCGTAATTACATCTTGTGGAATTTTTATGCTGGTTCCTCTGGGTTTTGTGGGTCATCGTGGACGCCTCGGGTGTTTTGCTCATGGAGATCAGCTTTATAAAATCAGCCAGAGAGTATTAAACAGCTTTGACTGGAGGTAGATAGAACTGGTGATGAAAGTAACGCTCTGGGCCTCATAGTAAACAATAGCAACGTTCCAAAACCAAGCAAGCTTCCTACCTAGACAGCTCTAGGCATCACAGGCTTGGTCCCGACATGAAGGCTGTTTGAAACAGTAGGCAGAATACTAATTATTACAATCTAAGATATTCTAGCCAAAATTGAAAGCAGAATTGCATGTGTCCTTCAAGGTTAAGTTTATTCCAGAACAAGATTTTTGTAGTTAATTAAAACTAAAATCCTACTTGAAATTAAATAAACTTTAACTGAAATAACACACACACACACACACACACACACACACA